TGTTTAAGTATTGTGTCTGTGTTAAGGCTGGTCTTGAAACAATGGAAAAGCTCTAATGAGCCAGTGTTCACGTAGTGGATGAATATGTTAATTAAAACATTACGGATGAATATGTTAATTAAAAACATAGTATGAAATCATCTTAGCAAAGTGGCAGGAGAAAGATTCCAAAAAGATATGGGAACAATTATTGTGTTTCCTTAAGGGCACATAACAGAATATCGTGACCATGTAAATAGCAGATCATTTATCAGGAAAACATCTCCCTATGGTTTTATGTGTTTTGTATTTGTGTTTGTTTACTACGTTTTTTTGTTGTTGTTAAAGATATTTAAAAAAAAATGTCTATATAAAAAAATAAAATAATTCTGCATAAGCAATCAAAAAAACAAATAAATTACAAATGTAAAAGACATGAGACCCCTCAACTTTTGCACATTTTCACAGATTTATATTTACTTACAACCGGTCAAACTGCTGTCATTTGGACATTTTGAACAGAATATCTCCCTTTTTTTTTGTCTTTGCTCCACGAAAGAAGCAGAGATGACAGAAAACGTTACCAATGTCTACTATATTGAAGCATTCATTCTATGACATTATTCTGGTGAGCAAGGGTTTATTTATTCTTCAAATTCATAATTACCTGACAATTGGTTTATATCTGACACTTAAGGTCGCGTTCGTTGCAATACTACCATGCTGCCAACAGTATTAGGCTTATATAGTATCATAACAGATCATCACAGTAGTATCACTTAAACCACGCAAATAACTTAGACCTCATTTGAACTAGTACAACCGTATCATAGCTTAGAAAGTCTCGTAAGCTCGACCACATCTTTTGCTTTCGACAGCTCTACTTTTGGTCACACTGGGTTGTTTTGAACGCAGTACACTCTTAGAAAAGAAGGCGCTACCTAGAAAGAAAGGGTTATTCAATTGTCCCCCATAGGAGAACCATCTGGAAATAACTGTTTTTTTCCTTTCACTAATGCAAGGTTCTACGTAGCACCTTTTTCACCACCAAATGGTTCTTCTACCTGTAACAAAAAAAAAAAGGTTCTCCTACGGGGACAAACAAAGAACCATTTTATTTCTAAGAGAGTCTGACAAATCTTGTGTTTTAATTTTAAGTTAATTTTCCATAAAGAGACATCTGTAAACCTATCCCAAGGAGGAACCAATAGAGAAGCCGTTACGCCACGGGGAAGGCTTTAGAAGCTACAATTATACAGTAGAGAATTGGTCCCAAAGTCCACAGAACTCCCCACAGTAATTATTTAAATATGAAAAAGACGCCAGGAAGCACAAAATAAAATGTAATTCTTGAGGAAATCAATTTTAAATTTGTAAAAAACCTAGAAAATCAAAATCAACACAGCAGACTTTCAATTTCCTTTCAGCCTGGTCCCAGATCGGTTTGTGGTGTCCTGTTGACTCCTACAGCAGCGTGACAATGACATGCCATCAAGAGTTTGCACTAGGGACAGCACAATGAGATCAGGAACCAGGCTAATTTCCTTTTTTGGTTTGCCAGCAGGACATACCCCAACAATAGTACGTACTGAGAACAGGACAACGGGACACAGGCATTACTGCACACAGGTCACACACAGTCAATAAATAGGGAGTTCCCCCAACTCCTATGAACATTGTAATGGTCTTGTGATAATGATCATATTAAAATGGCAGGCAGTACAAAAACACATCTGGAACCAGGCTAGGGTCCTATGGCACATCCCAAACGAAACAAAACCCCTCTCTTGCCCACACTAGGTCCTTTCAGATCAGCTAGAGGGGTTGAACAAGGCCCAAGGGAGAGCATAAGGAGGGTTCTGTCTGTTTGGGACTGGGCCATGGAGTTGCTTAGCCTGGTGAACCCAGATTGGAACGCTGCGCTCACCAGCTTTCAAGTCTGGTTTAGCCAGGCTAGGAGTTGATACTGTGTCATTCGTGAAGGGTGTCGGTCAGTGTTTCTAATATTCGGATCGTGCTTTGGTAAACGTTTCAGGATGGATCTCTCTCTCTCTCTCTCTGTTAATCAGAACAGATGGGTTCGATTCAATCAAAGACAAGACGGAAAAATCAGGAAAAAGTCTTCCAATACTAAAAAAAACAGCACTCTTTCATAAAATCTTTCAAATCAAAGTTTTATTTTCTGAATCTTTCTTCACCCAGTAAACATTGTCTATGAATCACATGACTTAAAATGTGGTGTTTTTCAAGTTTTGTGCAGTAGTGATGTTGTTTTTCCACAGTGCAGATTTTCCTGTACTGTGTGTTTGATTGAATACCAGCCCGACACAGAAATCCCATCCATATTATCGTCATAGATTCAAATCAACCCTTGCATATTAAAGATAAAATATTCTTCTGAATATAATATATTTTATATATGTATTATACACACACCCCTAATGTACTTCGTCTCACACTGTAATCCTAACATCAAATGTTACCACTCGCAAACTACCTTTAATTAAATAATTTCTAACCCCTTTAAGAGCAATTCAACAAATAAGTAGACTTCTAAAATATCGTTCTTCTTTACAGTTCGACAAAACATTGAGTCTAGTAAGAAGAGGAATATTGGAACCGCTGGGAGTGGCTCAGCTGAAGTGTGTTGGAATGGACACTGAACTACTAATACAGTGCAACGAAATTCATTGGTTAACAGGCTAGACAGGAAGGAAGCACAAAAGTATTTTTTTCTCACAATCTCAAGTAAATGTTTAAGTTACCCCACACGTTCCCACAGCAGCAGACACCAGTTCAACTTATGTGTATATACACTGAGTATGCAAAACATTAAGAACACCTGCTCTTTCCATTACGGACTGACCAGATGAATCCAGTTGAAAGCTATGATCCCTTATTGATGTCACCTGTTAAAGCCACTTCAATCAGTGTAGATTAAGGGGAGGAGACAGGTTAAAGAAGGATTTTTAAGCCTTGAGACAATTGAAACATGGACTGTGTATGTGTGCCATTCAGAGGGTGAATGGGTAAGATTAAAGGCTTAAGTGCCTTTGAACGGGGTATGGTAGTAGGTGCCAGGCGCACCGGTTTGTGTCAAGAACTGCAACGCTGCTGGGTTTTTCCACGCTCAACAGTTTCCCGTGTGCATCAAGAACGGTCCACCACCCAAAAGGACGTCCAGCCAACTTGACACAACTGTGGGAAGCGTTGTACATGGGCCAGCATCCCCTGTGAAACGCTTGACACCTTGTAGAGTCCATGCCCCGACGAATTGGGGCTGTTCTGAGGGCAAAATGGGGTGCAACTCAATATTAGGAAGGTGTTCCTAATGTTTTATACACTCAGTGTATGTATATATAGGTATCTGTCTATCTATCTATCCTTATCCCCCAGCTAGCTACCTATTCAACCCCATAGCTTCTATCTATCTATCTATCTATCTATCTATCTATCTATCTATCTATCTATCTATCTATCTATCTATCCTTATCCCCCAGCTAGCTACCTATTCAACCCCATAGCTTGTTCATGCTATTGCTACAAATGATTATTAACACCCCATTGAATAGTTTTGTTTGAAAATATGACTATCATATAATAGTATCTTTTGACAAGTCACAGATCTTATATTAGGTATTTTGTTCAGCTAAATATATGATGTATTCTATGTACAGTAATACATTGGACATATAAGTGCACATGTGCTGGTTGCTATAGTTACTGGGTTTGTTTAGTGTCTACATCCATGCCAATGCACAAGCTCCATCTATGTATAGGGCGAGGTCAACTGCCAATCCCTACAGTAGGTATATCTAGAACCTAAAACTAGTTCATAGGAAAGAAAACGGCTTTTTCTAGCAGTAATGAACGATAGAACTTAGAAACATGCTTCATGTTTTTCGATAGTATCATAAAAAAAAATAAAAAAATTCTTCTACATTAAGTGAAGTGAAGACCATTATCTCTGATAGACAGATCATACTAACGGCCATGCCCAAGTCCAGTGTATTTTAGTATCTTGAAAACATGTTGGAGCAGCTTATATACAAAAACACACTTCTGTCCTCTGGGTCGTATTCACACCGTAGCACTACGCAACGGAAAGTAAAAAGAGGCTTTTCTTATTGGACAAATTCAGGTCGGTCCCTCCCTGTTTCAGTCCGTTTTCCTCCGTTTGGAGTCTAGTGAATAAGACCCTGCTGTTGCTCCAACCACATACAACACCAAGACAGTAACCCAGGATATGCTGGTAACCTGGTATTGTAAGCTTTACCACGTCTCTTTCTTCGGGTCTGCTAAAATCAGTGCAATATTCTCCATACATCCACAGGGAAACCGCCAGTCAGCCAGCCAGCAAGCCAGCCAGCCAGCCAGCCAGCCAGCCATCAGTCACCCACTGTCCCCTACAGTATGTTATGAAACAAACCATCTGTGTGCTTAGTTAGGATCCATTTTGTTTAGGAAGACATTCTGTTTCTTCAGAGCAACGCAGCCTTTAGTCTTTAGCTAGCTAGCTTGTCAGCATAACAGTTGGTTGATGCTGCTGCTAGCTAGCTTGATAGCATAACGGTCGGCTGATGCTGCTAGCTAGCATAACGGTCGGTTGATGCTGCTGCTAGCTAGCTTGGTAGCATAACGGTCGGCTGATGCTGCTAGCTAGCATAACGGTCGGCTGATGCTGCTAGCTAGCATAACGGTCGGTTGAAGCAGTTTGTCAGTTTGTTTGTGTAGTTAGGTACTCAGGTACTCATGCAGGTCCCAGTGGTAGCTATGACAGTCTGAACGTGTTGTTGTTGCTGCTGTTATTGGTAACTCCTTGATGCTGGGAGCAACACCTTAGTTCACATTAATGACTGGTAAAAAACAACAACAACAAAAAACAGACGCTGGGCAGATGAGTGTCTGGAAGAAGGTGCAAGCCACACACACAAGCAGCCAAAGACAATTTCTCTCAGACACACACACGCGCACGCACACACACACACACACACACAGCCAAACTCTTCCTCTCTCTCACACACACACACACACACATTATCCTCCTCTTGCATGTGTGTTCTACAAGGCATCCGTGGCAGCAGGGGGCAGTATTCCCCTGTCTCTGAGGCGGTCTCTCATGGTGTAGAAGATAGTCAGCTGCTGCTCTGGCTGCAGGACCAACAGCTGCTGTAACACCTTGCTGGGGTTGGGACCTCTGGAAGACAGACGTCACATCAACATTACATATTATAACATTACATAACCAGCTGCTGGGGTTGGGACCTCTGGAAGACAGACGTCACATCAACATTACATATTATAACATTACATAACCAGCTGCTGGGGTTGGGACCTCTGGAAGACAGACGTCACATTAACATTAACATAACATCAACATTACATATTATAACATAACATAACCAGCTGCTGGGGTTGGGACCTCTGGCCTGGAATATGGATACACAGGACAGGTTCAGCCATAATGCATCACTAATTACCCCAAACCTATTATCAAACCACAGGACAGGCTCAGCCATAATATATCACTAATTACCCCAAACCTATTATCAAACCACAGGACAGGCTCAGCCATAATGCATCACTAATTACCCCAAACCTATTATCAAACCACAGGACAGGTTCAGCCATAATACATAACTAAATTACCCCCAAACCTATTATCAAACCACAGGACAGGCTCAGCCATAATACATCACTAATTACCCCAAACCTATTATCAAACCACAGGACAGGCTCAGCCATAATACATCACTAATTACCCCAAACCTATTATCAAACCACAGGACAGGTTCAGCCATAATACATCACTAATTACCCCAAACCTATTATCAAACCACAGGACAGGTTCAGCCATAATACATCACTAATTACCCCAAACCTATTATCAAACCACAGGACAGGCTCAGCCATAATACATCACTAATTACCCCAAACCTATTATCAAACCACAGGACAGGCTCAGCCATAATACATCACTAATTACCCCCAAACCTATTATCAAACCACAGGACAGGTTCAGCCATAATACATCACTAATTACCCCAAACCTATTATCAAACCACAGGACAGGTTCAGCCATAATACATCACTAATTACCCCAAACCTATTATCAAACCACAGGACAGGTTCAGCCATAATGCATCACTAATTACCCCAAACCTATTATCAAACCACAGGACAGGCTCAGCCATAATATATCACTAATTACCCCAAACCTATTATCAAACCACAGGACAGGCTCAGCCATAATGCATCACTAATTACCCCAAACCTATTATCAAACCACAGGACAGGTTCAGCCATAATACATAACTAATTACCCCAAACCTATTATCAAACCACAGGACAGGCTCAGCCATAATACATCACTAATTACCCCAAACCTATTATCAAACCACAGGACAGGCTCAGCCATAATACATCACTAATTACCCCAAACCTATTATCAAACCACAGGACAGGTTCAGCCATAATACATCACTAATTACCCCAAACCTATTATCAAACCACAGGACAGGTTCAGCCATAATACATCACTAAATTACCCCCAAACCATATTATCAACCCCACAGGACAGGCTCAGCCAATAATACCATCACCTAATTACCCCAAACCTATTATCAAACCACAGGGACACGGCTCAGCCATAATACATCACTAATTACCCCACACCTATTATCAAACCACAGGTACAGGTTCAGCCATAATACATCACTAATACCCCAAACTCTTTATTTCAAAACCACAGGACAGGTTTCGGTCAGCCATAATACATCACTAAATTACCCCAACACCTATTATCAAACCACAGGACAGGATCAGCCATAATGCGATCACATAATTAACCCAAACCATTATCAAATCCACAGGACAGGCTCAGCCATTAATTACATCGCTAATTACCCCCAAACTCCCATTATCCCAACCACACCGGACAGGTTTCAGCCATAATACATCGCTTAATTACCCCAAACCTATTATCAAAACCACAGGACAGGCTCAGCCATTAATACATCACCTAATTACCCCAAAACTGGTATTATCAACCCCAGGACAGGCTCAGCCATAATACATCACTGAATTACCTCAAACCTATTATCAAACCACAGGACAGGCTCAGCCATAATACATCACTAATTACCCCATAACCTATTAATCAAACCACAGGACCGGCTCAGCCATAATACATCACTAATTACCTCAAACCTATTATCAAACCACAGGACAGGCTCAGCCATAATACATCACTAATTACCCCAAACCTATTATCAAACCACAGGACAGGCTCAGCCATAATACATCACTAATTACCTCAAACCTATTATCAAACCACAGGACAGGCTCAGCCATAATACATCACTAATTACCCCAAACCTATTATCAAACCACAGGACAGGCTCAGCCATAATACATCACTAATTACCTCAAACCTATTATCAAACCACAGGACAGGCTCAGCCATAATACATCACTAATTACCCCAAACCTATTATCAAACCACAGGACAGGCTCAGCCATAATACATCACTAATTACCCCAAACCTATTATCAAACCACAGGACAGGCTCAGCCATAATACATCACTAATTACCCCCAAACCTATTATCAAACCACAAGGATAAACAAACCAAAACACCCAGAGCCAAAACACAATAAAACATACAATCATATAGCATCCAACAATGATTCACCACCGCCTAACATCATAACACCCCTTATCACAACCACAACGGACCATCTTATCACAATACTACGACTTATCCACAGGCTACGGACCATAATCAAACCGCCAACCATTATCAACACACAACGGACTACATAAAACACGAACTTATCCACAACCATGCATTATACAACCACCATCGACTATCACACGACCATACGGACCACTTATCAAAACACACGCATCTATCAACACCACCATAGCATTATACAGACATTACGACCATTATGCCCATCGACCACCATCAGCGACCACTTATCAACGGAACATAGCGGACCATCTTCATGCAACAAACGGACCAACTGGACATACTTAAATGCCTTATCAACGACCATACGACCATTTATCAACAACGACCATAGACACCACTTATCCCCAAAACGTACCATAGACTGGACGACAATAGACACTACACACCGACATACGGACATCTTATCACACACAACGGACATATCAGACCACTTATCATCACACCGACCATACGGACATCTTATCCACACCGACCATACGGACCACTTATCCACACCGACCATACGGACCACTTATCCACACCGACCATACGGACCACTTATCCACACCGACCATACGGACCACTTATCCACACCGACCATACGGACCACTTATCCACACCGACCATACGGACCACTTATCCACACCGACCATACGGACCACTTATCCACACCGACCATACGGACCACTTATCCCACCGACCATACGACCACTTATCCACACCGACCCATACGGACCACTTATCCACACCGACCATACGGACCACTTATCCACACCGACCATACGGACCACTTATCACACCCGGACCACTCCGGACCACTCATCACACCGACCACACCGGACCACTTATCACACCGACCACCCGGACATCTTATCAACACCGACCACCCGGACATCTTATCACACCGACCACCCGGACATCTTATCGACACCGACCATACGGACCACTTATCCACACCGACCATACGGACATCTTATCGACACCGACCACCCGGACATCTTATCCACACCGACCATACGGACATCTTATCCACACCGACCACCCGGACATCTTATCAACACCGACCATACGGACCACTTATTGCAGGCATTTTGCTGATATTGTTAATTTCGATAAGTAGCCTATACTAGAGAAATGTGAAGTTTCAAATGAAATAAGTTTGCAAATATGGGTGATTGTTAATGGGACAATTAATGTCTCCAACCATCAAACTAGTAGTAGTTTAAAGGGAAAAAAAAAAAAAAGTATCATTCTATTTACCGTTATCACGTAGATTCAGTCAATTTATCGGCATATGGATTTTTGTCCCAAAAAACTATAATTTTGATGTCATGGATGGTCAGTCCTTGCATCCATAACTCTGACTATGAATTGGCGAGTGGTTACATTTCTTCAGCCCCGTCCCTCAGCTTTTTACCGAATCGAGGAGAACGTTTTGTTATTGTTTTGACTGCTAATTGCCCCTTTAAATGAACAGTTGGTACCTATTGATTATCCATACCTGATAAAAGCTGATGTAAACTGACTATATAAACTATGTAAATTATGTTAATGTCACGACCCTTACCTGATGAAGCTGGCTGTGTTAATGTCACGACCATTACCTGATGAAGCTGGCTATGTTAATAACACAACCCTTACCTGATGAAGCTGGCTATGTTAAAACCACGACCCTTACCTGATGAAGCTGGCTATGTTAATACCACGACCATTACCTGATGAAGCTGGCTATGTTAATACCACAACCCTTACCTGATGAAGCTGGCTATGTTAAAACCACGACCCTTACCTGATGAAGCTGGCTATGTTAATACCACGACCATTACCTGATGAAGCTGGCTATGTTAAAACCACGACCATTACCTGATGAAGCTGGCTATGTTAAAACCACGACCCTTACCTGATGAAGCTGGCTATGTTAAAACCACGACCCTTACCTGATGAAGCTGGCTATGTTAATGTCACGACCATTACCTGATGAAGCTGGCTATGTTAAAACCACGACCATTACCTGATGAAGCTGGCTATGTAAACGTGAGTGAAGGTAGCCATCAGATACTGACAGTCGAAGCGATCCATGATGCCCCCGTGACCAGGGATGGTGTCTGCAAAGTCCTGACAGGAGAGAGAGAAGTTATTACTAGGGTTGGGCGGTATACCGTATATACTAGGGTATTTGGAAATACCCACAAGATGGTTTTTCAATACCGTTGAAACTATTTCTTTGAAGTTTTCGATACATTTGAATATTTGTAGCTACTTTAAGTTTATACCTGCAGTCAACTTGTGCAATACGTTAGAGGAGATAAAGCAAGTCGCGTTCTTCATTTCACCCTGTCACATTACTTTTCATTATGAAGCTTACCGTAGTTCCCCAGAACAGCAGCCAGTCACTGTGTTCATTGTAACGAGCACAATGGGAGAAAGGGGGAGTCCAAAGCGTTGAGTCTCTCTCTCTGTTGTACGGCGCACATGAGGTGATGAAGTATGCACTTGTGTGCAATTCACTACTAAATGTTTGCTATCAGATATCTTTATAAACTGTCTAAGGTGTGCTATACTCTCCAGCTGTGAATTTGGTTACTTGTTAGTTAGCTATGTAAGTGGCTGAATTAATGAGGAGAAGTGGTGTTAGCTTTCTGCCGTGTTTGAGAAGTCAAAGCGCTCTGGATGAGTTATCTGTACAGCGGCCATTTTGTCCCTGTGCTTCCTACTAGCGTTGTTTTTCCCTCCTCCGTTCTTCTCCATGTAAACATGCTGCTCTTCCTTCAGACAAGCATGCATCGCAACGTTGTTCATTTTGCACAATTTCTCTCATTCACTTTCACTTGTAAATGTGCCACACTCACCAAAAATGGTTACTAGCTATACTTGTATAACTTTATGAGCTGGATTTGACTGTCTGCAATTAGTTTGTTCATTTTCGCTTGTTAGCATTTAGCTAAAAGCGTCCATGACAATTCGCTATTACTTGCGCTCATTTTGTTAGCATTCTGGTAATCGACTCCCATTGGGGTTTTTTCTGCGCATTTAGCGCCCCCTAGTGTACTACGCTGGAAATACCGTAAAACCCGGGAAGGCAGAAGAACAGTACGTCAGTATGACAATCTGGATACCGCCCAAGACTAGTTACAGAGAAATCACTGATTGTGTCTTTTAAGGTATCCATGGAAATCATCCTACACAAATGTTCAGATAAATAAACAAGCATAGCCAAGCGAGGCCTGTGTGTAGTCCCCTGTAGCTCAGTTGGTAGAGCATGGCGCCTTGCAACGCCAGGGTTGTGGGTTCGTTTCCCACTGGGGGGCCAGTATGAAAAATGTATGCACTCACTAACTGTAAGTCGCTCTGGATAAGAGCGTCTGCTAAAATGACTAAAATGTAAAAAAATGTGTGTGCGCATGTCTCTGTTCTCACTTTTATCTTGAAGGCTCGTTTGAATCCGCTGGCGAAGAATCCTCCAAAAGGACCAATGAGAGAGCCGAAGGTGGAGAGCGCCACGCTGTGGATCTGGAATGGGTACAGGTTCACCGTTTTCTGTAGAGAGACAGACACACACACACACACACACACACACACACACACACACACAGAGACACACACACACACACACAGAGACACAGACACACAGACACACACACAGACACACAGAGACACACAGACACACAGAGACACAGACACACAGACACACAGAGACACAGACACACACACACACAGAGACACAGAGACACACACAGAGACACACAGAGACACAGCGACACAGACACACAGAGACACACACACAGACACACAGAGACACACAGACACACACACACACAGAGACACAGACACACACACACACACAGACACAGACACACAATTTAGCGTTTCCCTTGGATTCATTGAAACAAGCACCACTATTTAGTTGGAACCAGCTAGTTAGTTGGAACCAGCTAGTTAGTAAATGTTTGAACAACATGTAGTAAAATACAACTGAGCATTGATCATGTCTCTCCGACTTCCATTCTCGCCAGACCAGTAACTAAGGCTGCGTTTACACAGGCATCACAATTCGGATCTTTTTCCACTAATTGGTCTTTTGACCAATCAGATCAGCTCTTTTGCCCAGAATTGGTCTTCCTGTGTAAACGCAGCCTAAGAACACAAAAGTCTGCCTATAAGTGTCTAAGCCATCCCAGGACCACATGAAATCCATCCCAGGACCACATGAAAGCCATCCCAGGACCACATGAAAGCCATCCCAGGACCACATGAAAGCCATCCCAGGACCACATGAAAGCCATCCCAGGACCACATGAAAGCCATCCCAGGACCACATGAAAGCCATCCAGGACCACATGAAAGCCATCCAGGACCACATGAAAGCCATCCAGGACCACATGAAAGCCATCCAGGACCACATGAAAGCCATATTTTGAATTATTTTTCACTACTTGTCAGAGCAGGTGAGGGCAGGACTGAAGTGATTTAACAATGAGATAGAATAAAGCATTCAACCTAGAGGTGCTGCCCTTCTCCTACGACCAGATGACCTTTCACCCTGGTGGCTAAAGCCCCAAAACGTTCCCAAATGTCACTGCTTTGCCCAGTTAGAGGATTTCTGGGACCAGCAGAGAATAAGCTGCGAGGGAATCCTCCAAACAGGAATTCTTCAGACAGGATTTCTGGAAAAAACAGGGAATTTTGGGAAAGTTTCTGGAAATGTGCAACCATAAGGTCCCCTTACCCATCTGAGGATGCTCTGGACAGCGAAGGGCAATGTGTACTCGTGCATCACGAAGATGTCTGAGGGTTCACACTCCGCAGTGAAACGATTGGTCTCACTGTTGTATTCCGCGGGACAGACAAAGTACCGGAACTGAGCTAGCAGGTAGGCCAGCTAACAGGAGAGAAGAAAACCAGCAGGCATCATCAATAAGGGGCCGATTACTTAGCATACTATTACCACATTGTTACACTTTATACCGCGCTGTAATGTAAAGTAATACCACTGTCATAGTAACTTTATTTTACTGTAGTATATTTACTCACTATGAATCCAAAGACCAGGGTTCCAAAGAATCCTCCTATGAATCCCTCCCACGTCTTCTTGGGAGACAGCTGTAATAAATAACAATATTAATACATTTAATTTGTAACGCAATGTTATGACAATTATTTGATTTATTTTGTATGGAGGTCTTTTTCAATTCATTTATTGATTTTAATGGCAATTCCACTTCCTGAACTGAGTGAACAGGAAACTGAATTGAGCGTCGAGTATCGACGCGTACAGGAACAGAGGCCATCTTTCACACAGGGATGACAGTGTTTCACACTAGGGGTGTGACAAATGGACGATTTTTCTTAAGATTTAAAATTATTTTTAAAGATGGATTTTCCATTAAAACGATAAGAAAAAAAAAAAAAATCATATAAAATGCCACATGAATTCACAATGCAGATGGTTTTACATCACACTTCCCGCGGAGATAGAAAATGGTATAATTTATGGTGCTGGTGCTCCTGCTTTTCCCCAGAGTGGCGCGTGTAGCTTGCTGTTGTCGTCCAATCACAAGTCATCAAACCAGCACTAAACTACAGTCAGAGCTTCCCTGTGGCTAGCTATTAGGAGATATCTAGGCTAATCAATGGAAGATGGAATTAACATGACAGAACTACAAGTTAAAGAAGGACAGGCTACAACATATGCAGGGTTTCGGAAGGGGAGAACGCGCACAGTTGAAGATATGTAGTCTCAATTAGCTTAGCTAACGTTAGCTGGCTAGCTTAACTAGCTTCTCTCGGTTTGATGCAGTCAAGACAGGGACTATGTACACTGAACAAAAATATAAATGCAACATGTAAAGTGTTGGTCCCATGTTTCATGAGCTGAATTAAAAAGATCCCAGACATTTTTCACACATAAAAAGCTTATTTCTCTCACATTTTGTGCACACATTTTACATCCCTGTTAGTGAGCATTTCTCCTTTGCCAAGATAATCCATTCACCTGACAGGTGTGGCATATCAAGAAGCTGATTAAACCGCATGATCATTACACAGGTGCACCTTGTGCTGGGGACAATAAAAGGCCACTAAAATGTGCAGTTTTGTCACACAACACAATGCCACAAATGTATCAGGTTTTGAGGGAGCGTGCAATTGGCATGCTGACTGCAAGAATGTCCACCAGCGCTGTTGCCAGAGAATTGAATGTTCATTTCTCTACCATAAGGCGCCTCACTTTAGAGAATTTGGCAGTACGTCCAACCGGCATCACAACCGCAGACCACAGGTAACCACGCCAGCCCAGGAACTCCACATCCTGCTTCTTCACCTGCGGGATCGTCTGAGACCAGCCACCCGGACAGCTGATGAAACTGTGGGTTTGCACAACCGACAACTGCATCTCTCCCCCTCCGTCCATTAACAGCTCCGGTTATTTCTGCCACTGGTGAGGGGATGGTGTGTGTGAGATGGGAGCAAGCGGATGGAGGGAGAGAGATTCAATTGGGCTACAGCCAAGATTCGGTAACTTGTAGCAGCTACAATATTCATCATCAACTCATAAGTGCCGGTCTTGAATGGAGTAACCTACAGAAGCTAGCTAGCTAGGCTTCTTGGCTAACGTTACATGCTGCACTTTCTCCTCCCTCCCTCGTTGTAGCCTACTCCTGATCATTTCGCTTTGAATTTTGTGATTTTATTCCATCTTGCATTGTATTAGTGAACTCACTCGACCTGCTACACACGGAACCTCTGACTGTAAAGTCAGTCACTTTGATTGGCCAACACACTGTAAAGAACAAGCTACGTGCGTCAAGGTACCTGTCTTTTTAAATGGGGCACACGTCATAAAAAACTATATTGAAAAGTTTGTTGTTTTTATTAAATTAAATCATTTGAAATGTCATGGTATATCCTTGTATAGCAATGTCACATGGCTATATTTTCATTTAGAAAAATTAAAGTGTTAAAATAGGCCTACATTTATAGATCTACTGGTGCCTGGAAAACATCCCCCAGAATCACCGCCACCAGCCTGTACCGTTGACACCAGGCAGGACGTGGCCATGGACTCATGCTGCTTACGCCAAATCCTGACTCTGCCATCAGCATGACGCAACAGGACCTGGGATTCGTCGGCCCGGGGGATGTTTTTTTCACTCCTCAATGGTCCAGTGGTGGTGATGGCGTGCCCACTGGAGCCGCTTCTTCTTGTTTTCAGCTGATAGGAGTGGAACCCGGTGTGGTCGTCTGCTGCAATAGCCCATCCGTGACAAGGACCGACGAGTTGTGCGTTCCCGAGATGCCGTTCTGCACACCACTGTTGTACTGCGCCGTTATTTGTCTGTTTGTGGCCCGCCTGTTAGCTTGCACGATTCTTGCCATTGTCCTTTGACCTCTCATCAACAAGCTGTTCTCACCCACAGGACTGCCGATGACTGGATGTTTTGCGTATCATTCTTGGTAAACCCTAGACACTGTTGTGCGTGAAAAGCCCAGGAAGCCGGACGTTTCTGAGATACTGGAACTAGCGCGCCTGGCACCGACGATCATACCACGCTCAAAGTCTCTTGTTTTGCCCATTCTAACGTTTGCCCATTCTAACGTTCAATTGAACAGTAACTGAATGCCTCGATGCCAGTCCGTCCGTTTTATATAGCAAGCCACGGCCATGTGACTCACTGTCTGTAGGAGTGATCAATTCTGGTGAACTGGCCACTGAGTGTATAATATAATACAATATACAGTAAATGTACCTTAATGAGTGGTGTTCTGCCAAAGAAGAAACCAAACAGGTAGGCCATGATGTCATTGCAGATCACTATGGAGACAGGGACGAGGAACCTGGAAAACAACGTTCAAACAATGCTAACAAATGTCAACTCCGACCTTACGTTATCTTTACATTTGACCAACGAGCATCTTTACCGTTTACAAATATTGTTTTACAAAATACAGTTTGAATACAGAGCATGAGGAGCACCTCTGTATTTGGGCTCAGCGCTGACTACCACAGGGCTCAGAGCTGACTACCACAGGGCTTAGAGCTGACTACCACAGGGCTTAGAGCTGACTACCACAGGGCTTAGAGCTGACTACCACAGGACTTAGAGCTGACTACCACAGGGCTTAGAGCTGACTACCACAGGACTCAGAGCTGACTACCACAGGACTCAGAGCTGACTACCACAGGGCTCAGGGCTGACTACCACAGGGCTCAGAGCTGACTACCACAGGACTCAGGGCTGACTACCACAGGACTCAGAGCTGACTACCATAGGGTTCAGAGCTGACTACCATAGGACTCAGGGCTGACTACCACAGGGCTCAGAGCTGACTACCGTAGGGTTCAGAGCTGACTACCATAGGGTTCAGGGCTGACTACCATAGGAGTCAGGGCTGACTACCTGATAGATTAATTTGTATTTTAAGAATAATGACTAAAGGATTTCACCCCAAATACAGTATAAATGTGTGAACGGTGTTAAGAGTTATAATGTAGTGTCAACCCACTAACAGAGGGGAGGAGTTAGAAACTGCTGAGAAAGCATTCCAGGGTGAAGGGGACTGAGGAGCTGTTTAAAGGTGGGCGGAGCAAAGTGCCTTTGTGTGTCAAGGGGTATAAAGGCTGTGTATGTATTTTTTGGCGCCAGAGCTCTCCATGATTAAAAATACAGATCATTCTTGCTGGTTGTGGACCTTGAATCATTTATGATTAAAACCAGAGCCTTACAACCTCTGGTAATGATTCAAGCTTAGGTTGAATTAGAGATAGAAATTCTCGTGACACTACCATAGGGTTCAGAGCTGACTACCATAATATTATTACTATAGCTGGTGCACTGAAGACGAGACAGGTCTGGGTGCGTTGTTTCATTTCTTACCAGATCATTTCTTACCAGATCATTGGACATACTGTTTACATTAATACACAAGGTGAAATCAGACTACTACAGTATCAGTGGAGAGGAGAGAAACAACAGGTTTCTCAGGGACAGGTATCTGGGCGTGTCGTGTTTCAGGGACAGGTATCTGGGCGTGTCGTGTTTCAGGGACAGGTATCTGGGCGTGTCGTGTTTCAGGGACAGGTATCTGGGCGTGTCGTGTTTCAGGGACAGGTATCTGGCGTGTCGTGTTCAGGGACAGGTATTGGGCGTGTCGTGTTGAGTATCCGTCGGTCAGGACAGGTATCTGGGCGTGTCGTGTTTCAGGGACAGGTATCTGGGCGTGTCGTGTTTCAGGGACAGGTATCTGGGCGTGTCGTGTTTCAGGGACAGGTATCTGGGCGTGTCGTGTTTGCTTTCCTACCAGAACACTGATACTGTGTGTTTCTTACCAGATCATTCCTTCAAACAGGTTCTGAATGACCAGGTGAGACTGAGTCACCACGATCAGCAGGGTTACATGGGTCCATGCAAACTGGAGGGGCCACCACACACACCACAACACACACCACACACACAACACACACACCACAACACACACCAAACCACAACACGTTAGCAGTGGGGAATGTAGCCTGACCACTCACAATAACAATGTTGGTAGGTAGAATGCAGAGATAGGCAGACAAGCTACAGATATAGAAATACAGTCTCTAGATAGGCAGACAGGCTACAGATATAGAAATATAGTCTCTAGATAGGCAGACAGGCTACAGATATAGAAATACAGTCTAGATAGGCAGACAGGCTACAGATATAGAAATACAGTCTCTAGATAGGCAGACAGGCTACAGATATAGTCTCTAGATAGGCAGACAGGCTACAGATATAGAAACACAGTCTCTAGATAGGCAGACAGGCTACAGATATAGAAATACAGTCTCTAGATAGGCAATGCTGTCACTCCACACACCACTACACCCACTGACATCTACGACACAAAGCGAAGGCTGATAAAGATGGCTTTAACACAGCACTCTAGTGTATGTCTATCTGGCTGGCCTGAAACTACACCCCATGTGGTGCTCTACTTTTCCATCTAGAAAGAGCTGTCAAATGTATTCATCATTTCACTACGCAGTGCTCTACCTTTTACTAAAAAGGTCAAAAACAGATGCAGTACATAGGGAATAGGGTGCCAGTAGTGCCTGTAAACTGGGATGGAGTACGCAGTACGCAGTACGCTGTACGCCGTATAGCAGGGTTCCCCAATAGCAGGGGGTTATCCAAGTTCTGGATATAAAATACTAAAATCACCAGGAAATCAGCTCAAAGTGATTTTAAATTTAGGAAATCTGTTCCCAAGTACTCCCACACACAAAGAGGCATATGTGATCGTATCCCAATGTAATCGACGTTTGAAATGATTCTGTTTTTTTTTGTGTCAAATACTAATCTCTGTTTGGGATTCTTGCGGGTCAATTTGCACTGTACAAATGATTGAACACCATGTTCCCCCTGACCGTCCGTGGCTGAATGTAGTTGGGGAGCCCAGCTGTATTGTGTGGTGTGCAGAGTGACAGGATGGTGGTGGTCAGTTAGTGTTGCCAGGGTTACTTGGCTCATACACACCATATAAAACTGCAGGCGGTAATGTTTCTTCACTAAACTCAGAACAAACATGCAGAAACCTGTGAAAAGAAAGAAGAACATCATCATCATCATCATCATCATCCATATGCCCACACGTATCTAGACTGATACCATACAGGAACCAATACGTGTAAGTTTGAAACGATTCAGTGAATCAATGCGATGCACTAACATTTGTTGCAATAAACATATTCCTTTTCCATTCTAAGTTTAAATCTGTTGTTGATGGCGCTCATGAGCTGGATCTGTCAGAGCTATAGATCAATGACTCCACAGTTACATGCAGTTCCGCACTGAAAGAGAGGACGCATCAATTGTCACAAAATATATATTTTTCAGAAGATAGAAATAATGTAATATGAGCCAATAATGCTGGTGAACCAGCGTTAAGTAACGTCCAAATCGGCTTTCTGACCAATACATGCTTTTTTAAAAATCAGTTTGGGATCCGCGGACCGATGCTCCCGCATCTTAAACATTTGAATCAGGGGACCGATGCGTATCGGGTGAATCGTTACATCCTTAGCTATCAACCAATCAGTCAATGTATAAGGCCTGATGGTAACAGTGAGAGGGTGTTTGTAGTCACATGACATTCCCTGCTCTATTGAATGAACGCAACGTCATATTTTCAAACATTGTTCTTTTAAAGCTGGAATACTTAAATTGGTCAAACTGTCCATTTGGGATAGTACAACAACAAAGAAGTTACTAACAACAAACACTATTTTGTTCCCTCGGACATCATCGCTTGCTAAATGTATTTTAGCAAAATGCCATACACTCCTCTTCTCTGTTTAATCAACAAAAACTAAATAATTATAATAGAAGGTCCTGTGGTGAACAGTGGTGCTGTTTCCCCCCAAATGCCAATTCAATCTTTTACACAACGAACAACGCAACCTCAGAAAACAAACTCCATTGGATTGATTGAAGACCTATAGATTTGTAGCCCGGTCCCAGATCTGTTTGTGCGTTCTTGCTAAACTCATATTGCCAATATCAAGCTGAGTTGTCAAGACAGCACAAACAGATGTGGGACCAGGCTAATAGACCTCCATTTGTGACCGACCGGCTTGATTCGGTCTTATGTAGCAAAATGTGATTTATTTTTTATTTTTACATTGGATAAAAGTAGATACACAGAGCTAGAAAATGGTATATCATACACTACAGTTGAGGAACAATGGGAAAGTAATTCTGTTTTGAAAGTTGATCAACTTGTAACGTCACGTTTGAGAAAATGGCCTTTGAATGTTTTGGTACCTAGTGGAGAGCCCTTCTTTGTCCCATTCAGCATCGCTCACACCCTCTTAAGCCTTAGCCCCACCCATCTCTTTAAGGGTTGATCCGAGCATTCTGTCCTAACAACAGTAAAGCACCCAAGCTAACTGGCTAACATTGGCTAGCTTGCTAGCTACTTCCAGACACAAATCAGAGAACATCTCACTCTGACCATTTTACTCGCCCTAGCAGAGCTGGTTAGGCTGTTTTCATGTTCTCCAGAGCGTTGGTGACTGCAACTGTGATGCTGGCAACAATTTACGCTTTTTTGCCAACGTTTACCGACACCAGCCATATTCAACGGGTGTTGATTGTTCGTAAATTCGTCAGTTATTCTGCGTTCTGGCCCACTCAGACGAGAGCGCTCTGAAATCGGAGTAGATAGCCAGAGCAAATTTACCAGCTACATCTATCAACAGTTGTCGCATTGACATCATGAACATTCTATTGAAATGGTTACTTGCATAGTGGAGTCTTTTGTTAAGACATGTAGCTAGCTAGCTAAACAATGAACCATAATCCCAACTCATAACGTTACTACCCTGCATTAATCTGCAGGTAGCTAACCAACCAGGTTCAATGTTAGCTAGCTAGCTAACATTAGGCTATAACTAACAAAGCAAATGGCTCTGAGATACGAATAATATTATTACACAGATCACACACATATAACGTTAGCTAGCTGATCTAACAACAGCAGTCAAGCACCCAAGCTAACTGGCTAACGTTGACCCAAGCTAACTGGCTAACGTTGACCCAAGCTAACTGGCTAACGTTGGCTAGCTCCTTCCAGACACAAATGAGAGAACAGCTCACTGACCATTTTACTCTCCCTATTGAAATGGATACTTGCATAGTGGAGTCTTTTGTTAAGACATGTAGCTAGCTAGCTAGCTAAACAATTAACCATAATCCCAACTCATGACGTTACTACCCTTCATGAATCTGCAGGTAGCTAACCAATCAGGTTCAATGTTAGCTTGCTAACATTTGGCTATAACTAGCAAAGCAAATGGCTCTGAGATACGAATAATATTACTACACAGATCATACACGTAATGTTAGCTAGCTTGCTAACAGTACACTTTAACTTGAAATGAAAACATCTGTCAAAATTAGAAACGTGTGTTATCTGAAAATGTAACTAGCTAGACTATCTTACCCGTATACATCATGGATGGACGTTTCTCCCTTTCACGGATGCCATGGTTGCCCTTAGTTTGATTGAAGATGTAATCCGGAGACAGGTGTTTTCTCCATCTCCTTAGCTATCATACTCTAATTCCACTGGTTTCAAAACTCGTGGAGAGCAACACTTATGCAGTTCTACTACGCGATATCGTTTTTAAAAAGCAGCGTTAGACAGGATTACCTAGACATACTGACCAGCTCAAATAGACAGAAGCGTTCTATACGGCAGACCAATCCGAACTCATCTCTCGGCCTATCCAGCCCACTCATTATCTCAGCCAATCATGGCTAGCGTGAAGGTTGCTGTCTTTTTCTGTGGCTAAACCAACTAGGCTCATAATTTAACAATTGTATTCGTATTTACAGGTGGCATGCAATTGTGTTGTTAAGGCACATGAAAGTTCACATGTTCCAGAAGGCATTTCTGCCAAAAAATGAATTTGGTTTAAAATAAAAAAGTTAGTTCAAATGGCTCTCCTGTGAAGTAGTGACCCGCGACATACGCCTAGTTTCCTGAAACGAGTCACATATGGAGAAAAGAGAACACAAAGAAGGCTGTTGTATAAAACAATTACATCTTCAAACTAAGGGCAACCATGGCATTCGTGACAGAGGGAGAAGTGTAAGCGAGCCTAGCTAGCTACATCTTCAGATATTATACGATTCTAATTTTGTCAGAAACTTACAAGTTACTGTTAGCTAGCTGGCTAACGTTAGCTGGCTTGCTCAAGTTACGTGTATGATCTATGTAGTAATATTATTCATATCTCAGAGCCATTTGCATTGCTAGTTACAGCCTAATGTTAACTAGCTAGCTAACATTGAACCTAGCTAGTTGGTTAGCTTTAGCTACCTGCAGATTCATGCAGGGTAGTAACATCATGAGTTGGGATTGTGGTTCATTGTTTAGCTAGCTAGCTAGATGTTTAAACAAAAGACTCCACTATGCAAGTAACCATTTCACTTTATCGTTTACACCTTCTGTATCCTGTGCATGTGACAAATAAACGTAGTGTGAGTTTACCAGAGACGGTAATGTGAAGAACAACACGACCTGCACCCAAGTCAAATTAGGATATAAAGTTAGGCCAACGAGACAGTGTCCAAGTTCAAAAATTCTCTGGTAGAATTCACTGCTTTTATTTCGTCAAACTCACGAAATATGGTCATTATTTGAACTCGTTAGCTAGCTAGCTAACAAGCTAGAAATGAACCATTGTTTAGAAAGTTGCTTTTAGTTGTCTGGTTTGCTAGATTGACCTATACTACATTCATTTTTAAAACGGATGGGTTTATTAGTGTTTAAAATCAAATTAAATGTTATTTGTCACTTGCACCGAATACAACAGGTGTAGACCTTACCGTGAAATGCTTACTTACAAGCCCTCAACCAACAATGTAGTTGTAAGAAAATAGAGTTTAAAAAATGTTACAAAATAAACTCAAGTAAAAAAAATTTAACAAATAAAATACAATTACATTAACACCTCTGCAACTGGATTCTTGACTTCCTGACTATTTTGCACAACCAGGCTTGCTGATGTCATGCAGCCTGTCGTTTTTGTGTTTATACTTTTTCATAACAATAACGACAAGTTTGATGTCGGACGACAATAGAATGTTCATGATGTCACTGCGATAACTGTCTACAGACATGTCGATAGACGTAGCATAAACCAGCCTTTAGTCTTGAGATCTTTGGTTGTTTAGTACACTACCGTACTCACTCTGTTTAGCACATGGCCTCGCATGGGAATCCTTAAAGAGATGGGTGGTGCTAAGGCTTAAGAGGGTGTGAAACGATGCTGAATAGGTGTAGACAAAGAAGAGCTCTCCAATAGGTTTACCAAAACATTCAAGGGCCATTTTCTCAAAAGTGATGTTACAAGTTTATCTACTTTCAAAGCATAAATACTTTCCCATTGTTCCTCAACTGTAGTGTATGACAGTGTTTCCTCTGCGTTCATTTACGTGTGGCGCCACGGCAGAATCATTGCCGCTACACCAAAAGAAACATCCTATTTCTACCAAACATAGTTTCAATAAAGTTCAGTAAAGCACATTCGCTTTTCTTGGTAAATAGATCATCTGTCTGGGTTCAACACAGTTCTGAAGGTTATTTAGCTCTGTTAGCTGTGGCAGGCAGCCTGCAAATCAAGAAACACAGCTCGCCAGTGACCAGTGCGTGAGTGACCAGTGCTAGATACAGACGCTCTGCGGCGCAGAACAATTAACTTTAATCACTTCAGAATGCACTTGCGCGAGAAACGGCACGCCAGGGACCAGTGCAGTGCGCGAGTGACCAGTGCGCAATACAGAAGCTCTGCGGGGCGAAACACAATTCACTTGAATCACCTCAGAGTGCTCCCGCGTGAGAAACTGCAAGAAAAGGTACATTAGCTTGCTTGTTTGACTAACGTTAGCCGGGAGTGAGGTAGGGATGCATGAGGGACAGAATGGAGGAGAGGAGAGAGCCAGGAGGGGAGATGGAAGGAGAAAAGAGAGCAGAGTGGAACAGAGGAAAGGAGAGAGGAGAGCAGAGGAGAGGAGAGAGGAGAGCAGAGGAACAGAGGAAAGGAGAGAGCCAGGAGGAGAGATGGAAGGAGAGAGAAGAGAAGGAGAAGAAAGAGGAGTAGATAAAAGGAGGAGGAGAGAGGAGAGAGGCCAAGTGCGCACCACCGGCAATCCAGATGGGCCCAAAGGCTTGAAATTGACAGACTGAAGCCGTGGCTATATAATATGCCACATGGTTCGTCAAATTTCCTTTAATTAGGCTAAGGGCTAAAAATGTTTATGCATATTTAGTCTGTACTAGTCTACAGCATTATGTGTTTATTTCTGAGCCAGGATAAACACCTTTAACCTTTAACCTGACCCTCCTCTCCAGGAAGTTGTTGCTAACGCCAGAGGATAACCTCCCGAGTGGCGCAGTGGTCTAAGGCACTGCATCGCAGTAGTAGCTGTGCCACTAGAGATCCTGGTTCGAATCCAGGCTCTGTCGTAGCCGGCCGCGACCGGGAGACCCATGGGGCGGCGCACAATTGGCCCAGCGTCATCCAGGGTAGGGGAGGGAATGGCCGGCAGGGATGTAGCTCAGTTGGTAGAGCATGGCGTTTGCAACGCCAGGGTTGTGGGTTCGATTCCCACGGGGGTCCAGTATGAGAAAAAATAAATAAACGAAAAATAACAAAATTAAAAAACAAAAATTAAAAAAAAGGGAAAAAATACATTTTGAAAAAGGAACAAATAAAAAAATAGACTATAAAAAAATATGAAAAATAAAGAATAAAAAAACTATGAAAAAATTATAATGTATGCACTGACTAACTGTAAGTCGCTCTGGATAAGAGCGTCTGCTAAATGACGTAAATGCTAATGCCAGAGGATAAACACCTTTAACCTTTAACCTGACCCTCCTCTCCAGGAAGTTGTTGCTAACGCCAGAGGATCAACACCTTTAACCTTTAACCTGACCCTCCTCTCCAGGAAGTTGTTGCTAACGCCAGAGGATCAACACCTTTAACCTTTAACCTGACCCTCCTCTCCAGGAAGTTGTTGCTAACGCCAGAGGATAAACACCTTTAACCTTTAACCTGACCCTCCGCTCCAGGAAGTTGTTGCTAACGCCAGAGGCTGCTGTGCTGCAAGAGAGGCCCTCTTACAAGCAACGTGTGCCAGTTGGAGCATTCAAGGTATGGCATGAGTGTGACAATCTTTTGAAGAGAACATTTTAGGCCAGTGTTGCCCAACCCTTTTTTCCTATTGAACTACCACTCTGTTGACCCTTCTTTTAATGTTTTGTTTTTCCATGTATTTCAGGGGTTGGACCAGCTGACGGCAATGACAAAGCTGGCCTCGCAGTTAGATGAGTGGGGGCAGCTCTACCCCTGCCTTAACCAGCTGGCAGCAATCGCACTGACTATCCCAGTGTCTTCCGTTAATTGTGAGAAAAGAGTAAGATCATTAAAATGTGAAAGTAGATCCTCTTTGTCCCTCTCCCTTGTCTTATTATTATCTCTGGTATTGCAGGTCAGAACAGACTTCAGGAACAGACTGCAGGGACAGACTGCAGGGACAGACTGCAGGGACAGACTGCAGGGACAGACTGCAGGGACAGACTGCAGGGACAGACTGCAGGGACAGACTGCAGGGACAGACTGCAGGGACAGACTGCAGGGACAGACTGCAGGGACAGACTGCAGGGACAGACTGCAGGGACAGACTGCAGGGACAGACTGCAGGGACAGACTGCAGGGACAGACTGCAGGGACAGACTGCAGGGACAGACTGCAGGGACAGACTGCAGGGACAGACTGCAGGGACAGACTGCAGGGACAGACTGCAGGGACAGACTGCA